AGTTTCGATATGAACACTATCAGTGGACATTTGGTGTATTCACTAGTATAGTCCCCCTAGGCGACATCATGTGATTAAGATTCTATCACAAACTTTTGTCGAATATTTTCACATAATCATCTTCAGTTGTTCATCTAGGTCATGCTAATAAGTTGATGGGTGTAGAATGGAGTTTTCGTTCTACCCAGTTAGTGTTGAAATCAGTGTTATCTGCTTAGACAAAGCAGATGATAGGTATGGGCAAATTCTAAATCAGCATACACTTTTGTAGTAAACCTTTTTAAGATAAGTAAGCTAGGGAAAAATTCGGTTATCGCCTTGCATGTACCGACCCATCATTACATTATAGAGTGGGATAAGGTGACAATCCTAAAATCCATTATAGCTGACTAGGTGGAGGGAAAGATTGATCACAGAATCTTTATTCATTAAATCAACAACTAACACATGTAACAGGAATTATTCATCAAATAGTACAGATATCTGGTGAACTTTACGGTCATTAAAATAAGAGAATGAAGAACTGTCAGACTATATGAGTGATGTTTGAAAGTCGCATGATAACTTTGTTACAAATATGAGCAATAAATTCTGCTCAAACGTCATCCAGAAAATTATACTGTGTTACTATGTGCTATATCAATCTAATGTGGAATTACACTCTACTACAGATCCCAATTTTATTCCTACTTAGATATCAGTTTGACTCTGGGATGTAGTCGTGGTTTGGTAGACCTGCATTATCGATACTGGGTGGTGACTCAAGGTGTCATGGAAATCTGAGTCACTGCAGGATTCGAACCAACAGCATGCTGGTCACCGTCCCGGTGCTCTACCAAGTGAGCTACGAAGTTCAGACAATGACCAGATCTTATTTTCAGTAAGATCCTCAAGGTTTTCGATTGCTGGCATATCCTGACCATTGACATCACCTAGTCAACATAGGTAATATGGACGTGCAATTGTAGAACGTGAGAAAGAAGGTAACCATAAGAGCAGTGTCTACTGTGAATGAATTATGACCGCATTTGACTCCAGGTCTGTTAGCTAATTTGATCAGGTACTGTAAGGGAAACTTAGAGAACATTGTTTTGAAGCATACTAAGAAACGGGTTTTTCTTTTTGACCTCAGTTATCACATAATTACTTCAATATCGCTCTTCCATACTACTACTTTCACAGATAGTCTCATATTGTTTCCCAATAGGCTGTTTTTGAAATAAGATTTCAAAGATAAAGCGTTGTTACACTAATTGTAGTGTCTATCCTACTTTCTAACACAAAATGTCAGTTACTGTGACAAAGAAATCGATAAACCTCGTTATCACTGATCAATATCAGATGAAAAATGATCTGAAGTTAGACAAACTGAAACTTCTTTGTCACCAGTTATTCATCGTTTCGTTTGGTGATGTTATTTATCTGATCTGAATGGCTTGTTTGCAAAGCTTTCATTGTCATTCTATGCAATACCATCAGTACAAACTTCAGAAAGAACTAATCCATAAGAATTTATCAACTAGTAGCTTAGTAGCTTATCCTGATGACATTGTTTTCACACATTTCAAATGGCTGTTTCGCTGACGTGACCTCTAACCTTCTTATGGCTTCTCGTGCTTCTTACTGGTTGGCAAACCAATCAGTTTCATTGTGCTTATCGGTTGCTGATTGATGGGATTGGCGAGCTTCTAAAAAAAGCATGGTGCTTTTTGCATTTCTTCATGACACATCGCTGCTAGTTGTTTTTTATAAAAACGAACGCAAAGACGGCCACTACTCTGTCTATTACAATGTGTTTCGCAGCTTCTGTAGTTTATTTTTTAGACTGCACAAAACGTTTCTCCCTTTGCCGATTTTTCTTTCGGTCCGCATAACATAAATTCAAGGTTTGTAAACTACAGTGATTCCGACAAGCTTCAGAAATACAGATGCTATCTTCGAGGCGTTCTTCATGTAAGGTTAAGCTATTAACCTGTGTATTTTCAGAAATGACTTCTTGGTTAATAGTGAGTTTGGTGAACATCATTTGATAAAATTAAGTTAATAGGTGTTCTTCTGCAAGATATTTATTCCCCTGTTCCCAAGTACTCACTCACAAGTGTTCACTGGAGACATTTATGAACCGTATGTAATAGTTTCACTCTGTTTGTCAAAAATACCAAGCAGTAGAAAATCGTTATTCACTGGATATCATTCGAGTAGAATTTATTGCTCATTTTCACATCAAGATAGTCACACATTTTGTTCACTTGTTTCCTGTAGTTTTGGTTCTTTTTCAGGCTTCGCTTCATGGGTATATATATATATATATATATATATATATATATATATATATATATATATATATATATATACCCCCTACATAAGTGACGTATAAAGAGTTGTTTGTATAACATCTGTTAGGTATTTAATCAATAAACAAATATTCATTTACTTATCTTTCTCTTTATCCAGGTAAATAATTTTATGCATTGTCCCTTTGTCTGATTTCACTATACATTGTTGCATTGATGTCTACTACTGAGATCTTCTGTTAAGTATTCTTATAGGGTCTACCGATCATAAGTTACTAAGGTTTTGTGTCCGAAAAGCCTATGTGAGCCTGGTTGACCAGTTTGGTGTATGTGCATGGTCTCACAACCATTGCAAAAGGCTTAATGGATCAGGTTATTTTATCTGGTAGACTCAGTCAGATCCCTTAGCTGGCAAAGTTCTCAAATCCCGTCCTTCTTTGAAGTCATTTATGATGTTTTAGGAGTTTTTTTCATGTATAAAAAGACTGTAGACTTTTCACATTACCTCTTTTTACATTAACCAGCTTTCTTCATATTATTCTAATTCAACAATAATTGATCTATTTTTCAAGAGATTTTTGCTGACTTATGAATTAATTGAGGGAGATAATAATGGTGAAGAATATTTGTAGCTCAGATGGATGGTCTTTGTTGTGTTGTGTTCTTTGAGCTAGTTTGTTTAATCGTGGAGCTTTCATCATCTTTCTAGACGACATCATCAGCACTAACTTCAGTATTAAGTGAGCTGTCAATATCTCTCCGTAAGTGATTTAGTGGCTAGCTCTGATGAACTGGTTTGTGACTGTGTTTTCTCCGACTGTCGTGAAATTGACTATATAGATTTTCCATTTGGCTGTTTCTCTGTTTAACCTCTGATCTTTCTGTCGTTTATCATTTTTCTTATTGGTTGATAGAATGGAGTTATGAAATGTCATGATGTTTAGTAGTTGATTAGTGTTCATGTTGGCGAAAGCGAAGAGAGCGACCACTTTGTCGAAGGTAGTGCTGATTACCTGTTTGCGTACATTGCTCTTAAGTTGGAAGTATATTTTCAGACAAAGGTCAATGAATTCCATTAGACTTGAACACTAAAGTTTTTGCATTCTGAAGGGCTTGTCCAATGTTGTGTTGACTACAGTTATTGAAGCTGACTTTGTAAATAATATTTGGTTTCATTTCTTTGGTTATTACATCCTTTGGTTCGCATAATATGGTTCAAGGGGAATCGATTGGTTTATAAGCTACACCAATCCCAACGGGTCTCAGTAATCTTGTTGTGATCTACGATATATTCTTTATGTGCGGTAAGATGATTCACTTGTTGATTTCTGTTGATGACTTTGTAGTTGATGATGTACCCGATAAGCATCTTCGGAAAAAGTTTCGTAGGTAGCCGTTCTTTTAAGGATAGATATCAAGTAATTTTTTCATTTTTCCGTGAGGTTATTGTATTACAGTGTGTTCTCGCTCTTCTGAATAGAGTCTACACGCAACTAATTTGTGCATTGTTGGGATATTGTCACTGTAGTCAAGGGTTTGATCGGTGTGCGTCTGCTTCCTGTTCACTTGGGTTTCAAGTTTTCTGGCATTTGCTCTACTGAATAAAACATCCAGGAATGGGATCCGGTTGTTTGGCTCCTTCTCCATTATGAATTCGATGTTATTGGAAAGGTTGTTGGCCACAACCAATTTTTCTCACTTAGTTTAATTTCTCGTCGTAAATATTTCATCCTTCACCACAGTATCGAAGTTCTACTTTTAGAGATAGAAAAGCAAATTGTTGAATGTTAATTGATTACTTAGGAAATCCCTACATGAAAATTTCTGTCTTCAGATACCTTGCAAAAAGAAAAATTAGGCGCTGATGTAGTCGATATAAAGTTCACTCCTCCTATTCTGATTTCTCTAATCCCACATGAACCTTTAGTGTGCACAATGAAGTTAAGCATTTTAAACTTGAGAAAGAAGTTTTCTTGAAAACTGGCTTAGTGATTGTTAAACTAGAAAACAAGGCAATCATAAACTGCTTGTTTCTTAATTATTTTCGGTTACCTGAAGTTTGTGTTAGGAACCAGGTTCAAGTAAAATGAATCTCCTTATCACTCATAAACATGGTTGAGGAAATGGCATAACCTTTCTTTTAGAGCCTATAAAAGTAAAGTCTTGCATATATTAGTAGGTTTGTAGATTGTATACCAGCCTGAATAGTACTTATGTCTGATTATCTACTCGATCAGAGTATACTTGTTTTTACCTGGATTACTCTTTCTGTCACTCTGTTCTTACTGCTGTCCGACTTCATGTCTTGAATCTAAACTCCTGAGGAAGACAGGTAGTTGGTCAACAGTTGGATTTATTGACTTATCCCTTTGAATGGTCGCTGAATCCTCATTCAATCAAAATGAGTCAGTAGTTTCAAACAATTCACAGCTTATTAATACACTTTCGCCAAATACTGAACTCATATGCCGTCAACTTGACTAAAACTTATGCATGCTCAATCTGCAGTTAAAACGATTCCGTTTTCAGCACCTTAGTTAAAAGTGGAATCGAACTAACAAGTGTATTATTAATATAGTAATATATATATTATTCTCCACATTTTTTAACTGTTTTAGTACTTTTGCGCAATTTTAAAACAATGTTCAATTGTTATCCGTATGTAAATTTTATTTTATTGATTTCTGTTTTGTATTATCTTTTCAGTGTCATCTAGTCAAACTACTCAACACTTTGAACTCTAAGCCGGATACATTAAAAAATGGTTGTATACCAAATAAATTTCATAATCAATCGTCCGGTTCTTATCAAGACTATCGTAATCTTAATATACAATGGATTGAAACTTCTGATACTGATTTCAGTGTAAAAGGATTTTCATTACATCCACCTGTTTCAATGCCTAGAAGAACGAAATGTTAATATCATTATTAGCATCAACCTGTACTGCTATTTAACTATCTCAAGCATTCACTGTTGTCTGTGTAAATTAGCCTTCATACAACTAGACTATGTGGTGTGCAAATGTCTACACAATTCACCTTACGTAAAATGTATGTTGTGTTATTCTTACCGTCGAATACAGTAAACAATAGGTAATAACAATGTTACAATTATGTGAAAAACTGTTGAGAAAAAAAAGATCTTTTAAAGGGCTATTATGTTTTCGCTTTCCTATTGCATTTTTAAAAACATATTGCTGAAAAGTAATTATAATTAACCATAAATACTATTAATATTATTATTATTATAACTGTCGTCGTCGAATTGCATATTTTATATTCTGCGCTTAAAAATTGACAGTTGAATTTTAGTGTTGAACAATAACAAGTTGAATTTTCAACCGTTTTGCTTAATTTGAGTTAATTTTTGTGTATACAAAGACTAGTAAACTGATAATTTCATGTTTCTTTTATGGATATGCACTAAAACAGTTTATATATATATATATATATATATATATATATATATATATATATATATATTCATGTACTGTATGATTTTAGCAAATGATGCATTTAATAAATTCCTATTTAAGCTTTTTGATTACTTTTTATCAAAATAAATTTGTTAATATTAAGCTTATTCTGTTCCTTTTGATTCAATAGATAGTTGATATGTTTATATATTGACTAGATTTGTTTAACGTGATAGCTTAAAACCTTTTGGTAGATTGAAGAGCCGTCGCTTGAGGTTTCGTTATGTTAGAAAAGTCCTCCTGGATAACAGTATGATGGAGAGTGATCGAACTTATGGAATGAAATTATACTTCTGGCTACCATCAGCATGATGACGATATGATATTATCATCTGGAAGCCATCATTTAAACTTTGCTGATCAGTCGTCGGCTGGAGTTTGAAAAGATGGATCAAAAAATTGTGCGTCTAACCAATCTGAAAGACATTTGATTATCAGTAGTTAGCCTTGTCACGTGACAGATACAACTGTAGAAAACCAGTATCATGGAAAAGGCTGGATATAACTGGCTGTTAAAACATATCCTCTAGGTTAGGCAAATTGATCCAATAACCTTTTGCTGGTACTTCAAAGAGCTAAAAATATCTACAGTGATGCAAATGGACAGTGTTACCTAACCACTATTTCTTAATTGTCATCAATCTTCTTCATAACTGTCTTTTAACAATCGTCATCTGTTCTGCTAAAACGTCGTGGAATAGTGTCAATATATCATTGGAGACACTGCCAATAGGTGTAGATACAGATTTTCATCTTAAGGCAGAAAGAGTTGAAAGCTGAAAGTCATTTCTGCACTGTTCGATTGAATGGGACGGTAAGAACTGAGAAAAGTAAAACACATTTCAATGTTGTTTTATAATTTCTGGTTATGAACCCGATGACTGAATTTCGCGTGAATTGAAAAATGAGTTTTATTGAAAACTGTCTAGCTTTGGGCAAAACGTCAGATATTTGGATGAGGTTATCAAAGCATGTGACTTTGTTGCATAAACAGCTTAACTTGTCCACGTAGAAAAACACTACATAGTTAATTATGAGATTCTAGTCTAGAAAATCAGTAGTGTTGCTTCTGCAGGATTCTAGGACACAGGTTAACTTATTGGAGACCAATAATAGCTGTATTTCTCGACTTCAGTATGGCATCTGACTCCATAAGTGGCAGTCTTTGATGAAACTAGTACCTAGTACATCACTCTAACTAGGCGTTGTGGCTGACGCCGATGATCGAATTATGGTTTCAACTAGTCATTGGGTGATGTATTTGATTTGAGCGTTTCTAGACTGAAGTCCAGCACTTTAAGAGAGGTCTAAGGTTGTTTACTTTTTTATGAAAGTGAGTAGGGAGCTCTATTTGTGTTCTCATGCTGTTTGTGTAAGTAATCAATCTCAAGTATCCCAGAAGGTCAACCTAAAAGTAAATTTTTAGCCTAAGAATATCTACATTAACAGTAATTTGTTATGCCTTATTTGAGATAAATATGTATCTATTCATCTTTAATTTTCTCATGATCTGCTGAGTTATATAGTTTTGCAAGTGAATCAGTATTATTATAATCCTCCCCATAGTAATTTAATAATGTAGTACACCTGTATTATCTATGCAATCATGACTTACAAAGAATTTATCGGTATTAGGTTACATGAAGGTAGTAAGTTTCATCAAGAATTTCCTTGTTCATCAAATTTTATCACATATAAACTCATCGAGGTTTGCTTATCCTCATCTGGTTTCGTAAGGGTTGATCTTCTGTCAGATAACAACTTTATATGAGCTTAGAGAACGCAGACGAAGTAGTTTTGTCAGATGAAGAAGTTGACAGGTTTAAGAGTCTTCTGATTAAATTGACTGACAATTTGAGAATGTTATTGATGCATCAGTCGGATTACTTCTGCTGGGTCACTGGTTGTTCAAATCTTAGCTCGGATACAAAAGGCTTGATTAGCTTTTGTCAAACAATGACGCTTGTGACTATAGTATGATATCCTAATACCTATCTTGGTTTGCGTACTGCGCAGTACTTAATTCTGTCCTACACTCTGTCAGTGAAACATGTTCATTAAAGGTGGGAGACAAGTGAATTTTCCAGGTATTTGAGTGAAGTTGCTAAAGTAGCATAGGTGTTGTACGGAACGGTGATTGAGTGACCAGTATGGTATTTCGATGTGTAGTACAAGATAGATAGGCTGACAGAATCAACTCAGAATTTCGCATGCAAGTGTGTCGGTTCAATTTTCCATAGTTTACAGTGGCATGCAAGAAACGAGTGGATAGAAAAAGAATGACACCAAAGTAGACAGATTTTTATGAATGAATAAACAATTTGAAGATGAAGATTAGTTAGCGCAAATATTGAATTATTAGTAATTGAAGACGGAATACATCTACGCCATTGTGACTAATTTCCAGCCATGTTGCCAAGAGTCTCCAACCACTGTTTCCTATCGTCATGGGGACCCCAACCAGGTAGTTTACACCTCTCCACACTTCTAAGAGCAGCGGTTAGGGGCTTCATGAACTGGTGTCACTTCTTGATCTGGCCATTCTGAGCACTCTTTCAACCTAATTCAACTTCTACTACTTACCCTTACGCAGCTGTGTGAATTCGAGTAGAGAGCTGTGATCAGCGTTAAATTATTTCTCTGTGCTCCTTTAACACTCAGATACTGCCGTATCACTTCAGGGTCTACAGAGTCAAATGCTGCCTTCAGGTCGAGAAATATGGCAAGTGTCTGCCGTCGGTAAGTATGCATATGTTCCATGACCCGTCGAAGGGTAAAGGTGACTGTTGACCCTCATCCAGGTTTGAAACCTTCCCGGTTTTCTCTAGTTTATTGTCCTCGAGCTCCAGTTGCAGTTGGAAAACCATGGACGCCAGGATCTTGGGCACGATATAAGTTAATTTGACACCCCAATGGTTGTCACAGGATTTTTCTACCCCCTTGAAGGCTGGGATAATTAGTTTAGGAGATCAGTCTGACTGAACTACCTGTGATTCTTATGCACAGCTTGGTACCTCTGTTACACCAGCCAACAATTTCTTAACTCCGATTTTAAAACTTTTGGTTGGCAGACCATGAGGTTCTGCAGATTTGAATCGTTTTAGGTTAGAAACAGCCGTCTCAACTGCGAGGACAGTTGCAGGGCTGATATGTGTGTCTCATTCCGGTGTGGGGTGGATTCTAAACAAATGAGGTTGTGGGTCAGTTGGACTGTCCTTCAAAGAGTTACGCCCAATGTTCTCGAAGGTTATCAGCATCTCATCCTTTTCAGTGATGGTTTCACTCACCATAGTTTTCTTCCTACCGGTATCCTTAATAATTCTAAGTAAACGCAGAGTTTTACCCAGCGCTAATACCTTCTCTATCTCTCTCTTACTTTTACCACCCACCACTGCTTGCGACCGACGCGAAGACTCTTGGTCAACTGACATTTCAGTTGCTTTTGCTCTTCATCGTGGTCAGAGCCAGCTGGAATCAGTCAGTTTGGATGATGTCATAAAAATTCATTGGTGTTCGCTAACCTTTGAGTATAGGTTAAAACTGTCTTTACCACTGTTTTTACAGCAGATGTGACATCACTTCAGGTTTCTTCAGGATGAGTATTGATGTCACATTCAGATAACTGCCTAGTTAACTTCTGTCCACACGCGTACTTGGTATCCTCATCTTCTATTCGACCATATATAGACTTTACTATCGCCTGTCTCCTACGAGTAGATAGGCGCCGACATACGTCAGCATGTACCGATGCGTGCTCAGAATCCAAACTAGTGCTACAGGAAGAGCGGCAATCCTTCACCGTTCCTCTTGAACGATGGTTTATAGCAGTTTGATCTATCTGTGTCAATCATTGGTTCGGTGTTGATTGATTCCAAATGGCACAGCGTTTTTCCTCAGACCTGAAGTTATTGCTGGCTGGAGGTAAGGGATTGTCAAAGCGAAACTGTAACAGACGAACGTCGTTGTCGTTTCATTGACAAAGGATTCCATAAATACCTCCCAGATGTCTTTCCGGTTGACTTAGCTTCCCTAAATGAGCGTTAAACTCATCTACCGATATAACTATGTTTGAAAGTTTTGAATGATATCCAGTCGAGAAATGCACTTTCGGCTTTACAATTCAGTGGTATGCCTACATCAGTGAGTCCACCTGAACTGGCCACTGGGTCTACGTGTTTTAAAGACAGCGTACGTCCATGGTTAGAGATTCTAATAGTCGGTGTGACTTAGATCCATAATTGATACCTCAAAGAGATGATAACCAATAGGACAAGACCGGAAAATACTAGAAGCGAAAGCGAATTGAACATCAACAGAAATCATCATGGACCATTTTATTATCAACACACAATTCAGACTTCGATAGAATTGAATCCTGGTTATAGACAGTTAGCTAGTGAATAAATATATTTTCATCTATCAATTTTGTGTTTGTTGACATATATCTCTTCGGCATACCTGAACCTTTTTAAGAGACAATTATACTTGCTCTTAGATGCGGTTAGAATTTTATTTATCTGAATGAATTGTTCCATTGTCCTCTGTTTTGTGGTTAAATATATGCATAATATGAAAACATTCATTGGCTTTTACAAGACACGTGATGAATGAGTTAAAAGGATGAAATTTGGATTCAATATTCGAATAATATTATTGTACTCTGTAAAATCCATTGTTATTGTTTTTCTAATCACCTTTATATAACAAACTGGATGTAAGAAATTATTAGATCTGTTTACTTGTTAATTTATTTTAGTCAAAACTATGCAAAAGTTCGTGAAGAACTAACTATCCAAAAATGTTCATTAAAATGATGATGATGATAATGCTACTGTGACAAAGTTTGTGTAAATTTTATTTATCTCTAATATGCAATAACACGTGCTAATAAAGTATGATCAATTTATATACATAAATATAAGCATATGTTTGAAAAGTACCTCGATGAATTACAGAAT